GCCCATCTTTCTAAAATAAAGAATGTACATTTCCAGAGGAGCTGACTTTTGAAATGAGGACTGCTCTGATGGATTAAGTTTCATAATGATCAGATTAGACTAATAAACATGAAGTTTACAACCAGAAAAGCTGTGTTATGTCTGTTAGGTCACAATCAATATGATAGTGGTGATAATTTAAAACTATAAAATCAGAATTCAAGTTGGTAACTCCAAATCGAAATAATTTAAACTGATCAATGCAGTAAAATAATGTAAAATACCAATACAAATATGGAGAAAGGTTATAGGGCCATATGGAAAAAACAAAAAACACGTGTGAGAATCTAACAGGTCTCAAACTAGCCATCAGTAATGCCACCATGTACTTGCCTTATGCTTTTAAACATGACATTAAAAAAATGACTTCAACACATAAAGATTCAATTCGCCCTTTCTGCAGTGCAGACCTGGTGTGCTTATGCAAACCACAGCTCTTATTTGCATGGATAAGCAGATGTTGGTCACACTACTAGAAGATTTTCTTTTAATACAACATTTCCCTTATTCCTGTCCTGTTATACATTTTCCTTACTTAAATTTTAGAGCTCAATTACCAAATCACCTGCCTGGTAGGATTACTCTATTCAGTTGAGCCTTCTTGTGGCAAACACTTGAAGTGGAAGGTGCTTCATCGGGTCTGTAAGCACCCCTCTTCTCACTTGCCCTGAAAACAGCCCCTTATCCCTCAATAAGCTCTTAGAACTCAATGAACCATCACACTGGTCTCTTTGAGGAGATTTTAGAATTTGCCTCTTCAGCAGGTTACTTGAAACTTCACCCGACATCTTTGTTGTTCATGAAATTATCTGTTTTCCATAGAGCTACACAAATAAAGGCCTAGCGTGTAAAAAGAGAGATGTTTTACACATTATATTTGAAAGAGAGGAAGAGAGATCCTTTTTAATAAAATCAAACATTCTCCAGGTACTCTGATGATGATAGATGGCTAATGTATTATTTACTGACAGTGGGAAAAAGAACACATCTACCATAAAATGGGTAGATGCGTATATACAGAAATATGAAAACATAAAAAAACACATTTACATATGTTACATAAATAGCATGCAGTAAGCTAATTAAATGCTATGAATTCCCTCTGCAAGTTCAGAAAATAAAGATGGCTTAGGTGACAGTGGGTCCAAGAACAAGGCCTACACACTCTTCAATAGAGTTTAATTCTGTTACTTTAGGAATGAAGGACCTTTAGAAACCAAGCCACTACATTTTCAACAGGATTATCATTTAGAATTGACCATAAAGGTCTTTTAATTTTCTGCGCTCCGCACAGGCTGATCCATGCCAAACGCAATGGAAAATACCCCAAGTAAACTTAAGATAATCTGTTAATGTCAGATATTATTACATTTGTGGGGAGTGGCATTTAATGCAGAATTTTTAGTAGTATGTAATCATTATTATTGGAGTTGATGTTTCTGAATTTTACCATGAACTGTTCTACTAGCAAACACTCTGTCTTCCTTTAGCTGTAATAAGATTTTTTATTTACACAATTTTACATATAAAAGGAGTTGATATAGGTAAGCATCTGGAAGCTCTTCCTAGCTTTAAGACACTATTTATCATTGAGCTTATTAAACATTTCCATTTGGGTGATAATGTGCCCCTGTCTTTTTAGATTAAAAAAAAGGTAAAATTGGGGTGATAAGGACACATTTGTAATACCTTAACTAATAATAAAATTAATTAATTAACAAATTAATTAATTAAAAAAGGCTAAATTTTAAACTAAGAAGTAATTTCACTTGCTCCAATGGGAAGTAATCATTTTTATAGTCTGAAGTAACAGCATTCACAAACAATAAACTGCGAATAATCCATATTTTTCTGGACTTAACTGATTTTAACTGCAAATGTTATTTATGTATCATTAAAGAATAAAAATAAAATTTTATGAATATGAAGGTTCTATGTAATTCTTCTATAACTTTATTAAGCACTGGCTGGTATTGCAGAGAATAAAGATTTTTAAAAATATTTTGCCTACATGTGCAAATATTTTTACCACATTCTCTTATTTCATTAAAATATTTTTATTGATTTTAGAGAGGAAGGGAGGAGAGAGAAATAAAAACATCAATGATGAGAGATAATTATTGATCGGCTGCTTCCTGCATGCCCCACACTGGGGGTCCAGCCCGCAACCGTGGCATGTGCCCTGACCAGGAATCGAACCCTGCCCTCCGGGTTCATGGGTCAGCGCTCAACCACTGAGAACACTGGCCAGGCATTCACCACATTCTTTTTTCTTTTTATGTTGCAATACTTGTCAACCTCATAATAATATTCAGCATGTTTTCCCCTTGCAATGTGTCTGTGATAATTCATTATTTTTTTTTAAATATATTTTATTGAGTTTTTACAGAGAGGAAGGGAGAGGGAGAGAGAGTTAGAAACATCGATGAGAGAGAAACATCGATTGGCTGCCTCCTGCACACTCCCTACTGGGGATGTGCCCGCAGTCAAGGTACATGCCCTTGACCGGAATCAAACCTGGGACCCTTGAGTCCGCAGGCCGACACTCCATCCACTGAGCCAAACCGGTTAGGGCAATAATTCATTCTTTATTACAAGCTGACACTTCCATTACCAAAAGCTCAATTTCTCCACTTACTTAGAATCACATTTATCTATCGGGAAATTCATGTGTCTATCACTGATGCAGACGTCGGCCATTCTCACTAGTTTAGAGAGACGTGTCTGCGAGGTTGTCAGAGGCAAGAGTTTGTGTGAATAAAATGACTCTTAAGTTGACAGTCATCGATGTGTCTTGAGTTTGAAATACCAATTCGTGTTATTTTGTTTTTGCTTAATAGACTTCAGTATAAGCAAATTCACGAGGCTCACATAATCCTTGTCTGGCTGTGTCTATTGTACAGACTCTGGTTTTGAGAAGCCTTTTCCAAGATGAAAGGTATGTTTTATTTCAACAGACACCTTAGTTAAGAGTGTGACTCTTTAGATTTTCATCCTGCAGGATGTTATATTGGTTGTCCTAAAAAAGCAGGTGGGTTTGTTCGCACCACAGTCCTCCTCACAGGCCTGCTTTTCCTGCTGCCGTCCACATGATTGTGGCAGCCTGCCTCTGCCTCTCTCTCCTCACTTACTGGCCCCACAGACAGGAGTGACTGCCATGTCTGGTGAGATGGCACCCTCTGGGGAGCCCTCTTGACCATGAACCACTGCAGATTCAGTAATTTTTACCTGAATCAGGATTTTACCTTCTCTGGGGCTGTGAGGCTGGCTTCTATCTCAACTTTCTCTCTGCCTCCCTAGTAAGAGCACATCTGGGCCCATGGAGGCCAGCGGGCCACCTGAGAGCCTGCCCCCTTCTGCTGGCCTGGTGGGCAAGAGGTCTGCGGTTCTTGTCTTGCAGTGGATAGCATGCCTGAGCCTGAAGTGTCTAAGTGAGGTCTGGGGCTGGGGGCGGGGGGCGGGGGGAATCCTCTTTAGACCATGTTCTCTGACATAGCTGTGGCCAATAGGGGGCTGCTCAGTTAAATAAAATCTTA